CCCTGCATGACAGAGAATGCCGACACCGCAATCCGATCTGCTGAGCATACATGTGTAAACATGCACATACTACATGCAAACCCCAGAACAGCCAGGCCTTTGTTGACCGAAGCAGCCATTTTCCTAGTTTCCCACAACGAAAAGTATTCAGTTTGACTGCAACTCAAGTCATCTTTAAATTCCCGGGAAATGTGGTCAGTAGTTGACCTTGTATGTAGCAGGCATCACAATATCATTTTCAAAGATAAAGTGTTTTATTTGGTCATACAGGATCAGTGAGAGTGCCCTGCAGACAACACTTCTCATTTGTTGGTGATGTATTTACAACATTCGTGCGGCTTGTTCCCGTATGTTCACGATCAGCTTGATTTGTTGTTCGTGGGTCAGCCGCTTGAACAAACAACCGGTTATCGCTGGTAGTTAGTGACAAGCAACATGGCGGCGTCCATGTAGGCTACGATATTCGAGAGTTAATGTTTGGATGGGCTGAATTCTTTTCTCTATAAACAGGAACATTCATTTCTGTGTTACGGAAAATAATTGATGTTAATTTTGCAAAACTTCCCATTGTCTATGGCTTTGGAAGCCATCTCTCTACTTTTTGCAGCTGTTCAAAAATCAAAATCTCACGAGTTTTTCCGTGTGTTCTGTAAAACCCTGACGAGGTGGCGTGTGATCCTGTTCCGAAAACAGTGTTCTTTGATCATGTTCCATGTCAAGACATGTAATAAACGGACTGAGCGATAAGATACTACATGTACCAATGGACTCTTCCAAAACTTTGGCAGCAGTTTAGATGTCTTGACATGGAACAGCCGTTGCGACGATGAGGGGTCAAGTGACGTAATGCTCAACGACCTTATTTTAAAGATGGCGACTGTGAGAGTGAGCCTGTTAGATTGAATGGATAAAGGAAAAAAGACTGGAAAATACCTGAATACGTGAGTGAAATCATTCAATAAATAGTATTTAGAAAACGGAAAGGTCAAGAATCATATTCGTATGCAAAAGAAATTGCACCCACAATTATAAGTGGGTGCGCCAAAAATGTTCAGTACGCCGACACGAAATTGCGCATACGGATGTGTGGCTAAGGATGGATCGGGAGTGAGAGTCCGTGCCACACTAGTGGGGCTAACTACATCAGTACATCATACATGTATGTATGGGAAGCGTTCCATGATATATGGACGCCAGTAATTATATTCTAGAGTGACCTATAGCTGTCAGGAACAAAAACATGTCAACAAAAGTCTTTGGGGGGGATGGAAAAAAACCAACTCGTTTACATAGAAAACACACGTGACGCAGCAATTAGACATGTCAGACCATTCCAATCCAACATGGCAATAGGCTTACATGTATGTAGTGAAGTACGTGACTCAATGACTTTACGCGTACATTCTCAAAAATTACATAATTTAAAAATGCACTCTTCCCTTTTTTTCTAATAGAAATAAACATTATAATCCCTTTGCTGAATACTGTACCAAAAGCTTAATTTCGTGGCCTGACAACACGCTTGGTCCACTCACTGTGCCTCTGCTCAGCTGGTTTGCACATGCTCCATGCACGCTCGACATGATTAAAGCGCCCCCCGATTCCAGCTACAACATAAATAGCGCCCTCCAAGAAAGCTCCTTCAACACGAAAAAACAGAGAGGGACGGAATCCGCCCCCCCCCCCCGACATTTTTGCCGATAACGCCGCAGTACGTTTTTCCCAGGAGTTGAGCCTTTGGGTTTTTTTTAATAACTCTTTGCAGTCATTTCACCCTATTTTTGCAAAATATGGAAAACTGTTCTCTCACAGCGCGCCATTTTCCCGAGTTGGATGATGAACTTCAAAATGATCGTAAGAAAGTAAGCGTTCGATTGAGTTCAAACTTCACATCAATAATGATAAGGAGAATCTGTGTAAAAAAAAAAAAACATCGAGCTTGGCATACAGCCAAGTTCTTATAGGAGAGGCAAACCTGCCCCCGGCTGTGAGATGGGCTAAATAACTTGGATCTTTCAGGGTTGAGGAGAATCAGAGCCACGAATTAGGGTTTTTCGACAACGAAGGGTAATGCTTTAGAGCCCAGAACTGTTGGCAATTGATATGTTATGGGGCTATTATTATATTATACAGTTCTGAGGAGCTTATCTTGACGATCAATATTCTAGGGGGGAAATGGACACGTGCCAATTTCACAGTATGGGGAACTTTGAAGATTGGAATAAATAAAATAATAAAAACTGACCTTTTGTACTATAATTCATTCTCTTTTAATTGAAGTTTTCGATTTGGCGGTTTTCTTTAAAATTTGAA